AGAATCTTACAGTCTAATCAACCAGAGTGATTTGTCCAAAGACTACCACTGCAACTAATGGATACAGTTTATCATAAAGGAACAACCAAAGTTTTAAAAACACAGAAGTCTGCTCAACAGTGTGTGAAAGGCCCTACTTATTCATCTCAAAAATCAAAGCATAATGGTAAAACACAGCGAAATTAAACTAAAACAACTGGAATCATATATCTACCTTTCTTTTCAAAAACAGAGTTCTTTTAAATATTAACATCAATTAAAGAAATCATCAGTGGATCTATTAAACATAGCTGACAAACATATATAACAAGGGCTCCTTAATATAAAACTAAGTCACAGCCTCCAAAATTTTGTACCAAAAACACTGTCAAAATGTAAGTGCCATTTATCCAAAAATCAAATACCAAATTACTGAAGACTTAAGAAGCAACAGTAAATTCACCTGGAAGTTATCCATAACAGAAAAAAATCAGTTATATTTGAATTAGGGGTTTAGTTAAGTAAATTGTATTTACAATGGTTTTTACATAGGAGGAGAACTACTGAGGGAAATAAATTCCATATTACAATAATATAAAAAGATAGTTTTCTCAGACTTTAAAATAAGTGGTTCAGCATAAATAAATGTTCCAAACCTCACTTAACTGGCCTGAGAAAAGATAATTATTTGTTATATTACTTTTTTTACGACACTCTGTTCCCTTAGACAAATTTGAATAGCTAATCAAGATATCTGTGGAGGTCATTCTTCATAGCAATTCCAAGTATCATTTCTTCACTGGCTGTGTGATATAACAGTATCATAAAACTATACCTTGGACAGTTTTAAGGAGGTTGTTATAAGATATTTTAGAATAAACTATTTTTTAAATTTCTGGTTTGAACAGTTAAATTGGACTACTTTGAAACAAATTAAATACTTCAGTGACGCTAAAGGTACCTCTCCAGTGGTCCATATCTAATCATTTTATAAAAGGATCTGCACTTTCCACTTACTATAGGCTTTTACGGTACATATTTTATACCAGTAAATTTAAAATTTCATAAGTCATCAAATATCTCCTATGCGTGCCAACATTAGAATACCTAGACATTTTCTCTTTTGGTAAGTGAAATATAATCTGCAATTTAAAAGTTTAAAACTATCCTTTAAAATGAGCACAGATCAGAAATAACTTTGCAAAGAGAGCCTTGTATTTACAAAAGGCAACAAACTGTACATTTAGAACTATTTAAATGATATTTTTAAATGCTCTGTTTTGTGCAACGGCAATGCAATTAATTTGTGGTAAATTAAAACAAAAACTTAGACTATAAAGATTCAAAGTACCAAGCATTCACATACCAACTGATGCAATGAGAAAGTAATTTTTCAAAATAACATATTCACACTTTCTAAAATAATATTTTTAAATGGTTAATCCTGAATTTCAAATGTAATGAAGCCCATTACATTTTACAGCTTAAATTTAGACTAACTCGGTTAGAGTTTGGAGTTTCCTCTCTCCAGTTGTAAAAATATGATAGACCTAAAATAGATGATAGACATTTGGAAAACTTACACTGTCAGATTGCTTGCCCTGGTCACAGTCCCACGTCGTTGTTCGCTGGCCTGACCTCTCCATGGTGCTGAAGAGTTACTCTTGCCCATTTGAGAGGAAAGAGTTGTTTATTCAAACAGGCTTTACAAGAAATCCATAAAGGGCCATCTGTGTTAGCAAGTGAAGTTATCTGAAGAATTTCTGTAACACATACTACAAAGGAGATGCTTTACCCTTCAGTTATCAACCACGATGCTCAGGCAGCTCAAAGATTTTGGAGCAGAAATCTTCAAGTATTGACAAAAAAGAGGGAGAGCTCTTTGGGAGATGAAGTTTGCTGATTTTTCTCAGTGTTCTTCAAATTGAGGGGAAAAAAAGGGAGAAACTACAGGCTACTCAGAGAACAGAGGATTCCAGAAAAGTTCTTGATCTTAATGCAGAAAACAAGCTCCCATTAGTCCAAAGAAGCCAATTCACTTCATTCTATCATTGCATCTATTTTTTGATTAAACAAAAATAAAGCTCAGAATTCCACAAGGCACTGCACACACTATGTAAACAGGTATGCCTCACTCTAGCCCCAGCCTCTGTCTGCTGAAGACTATCACAGCAGAAATCAGGCTCTTGTGGCTTTCACAGATTACCTCTTTCTGAGGCTGAAACGTATAAAGAGCCACATGACACCCAATGATGTCATCTCTAAAGCAGGTCACAGTTGCCGCTGTATGTAGATGAAGTTCTTCTAGTGAAGTGTTTGGCATAGTGATTTTCTTGAAAATCTACTTGCATTAAATAGTGTGGTCTTCTATCAATATGCTTAACCCTATCAATACAGTGCCATGAAGAGAAAATTAATTTATTCCTCACAGGTAAAGAAGGGGTTTCCCCTCACGGAGCTCTAAAGGGAACTAGAGGAACGGTAGAGACAGACAGAAACTTCTAAAACGTCTCTCAGAATTTTTAGCATTTAAAAAAATCATTATTTTTTAATGCCAATCTATGAAGATTGCAAAATAAAAATTAAGGCAACTGTCTTCAACTCCAGACAACATTTTATTTGATGGAATTTAAGAATGTTTCATAGACAAAAAATTTTACTAACATCTATCTCTGAAAGGATTTGAGTATGTTTTCAAATGTTGGTAGGAAATTTCTTTTACTCATTATTTCTAGATGTTTTTCAGCTCTGAATACAATAACAAAAGTTTAACTATACTATAGGTAATTTTTACATGTAACTAGTAATAAATAGTATACAAAGATATTTTAAAGAATGTATAATAATGAGAATTATCCATTTCCATTCTGTGTAGTGTATTTTTCTCTTTCTTAACATGTAGTCACACACCATAACTTGGGATTTTCAGTCATAGTTGACTTTCTTGTCAGCTAATAGTTAAATTATCTAATCTCTCTTCATGCAAACTAAAAATCCTCACAGTCAAAGTGAAGATTAAATTGAAACTAATCTAATCAGTGCCTATTGACTGTATCCTCTTTTAATAAAAACCAAAGTGGATCAAACAACAGAAACCTTCCTTGGTGAGCACAGTACTTATATTTTTGAGAAAGAAAAGAACTATAAATTCTAGGAAAACAGAATTTTCAACACAATCAGTGCCACTGGGAAAATTCTATTAAAACAATAATGGGTGTTTTGGTATCAGGGAAAATTTGCTTAAGCACCTCCTCAAGGCACATGATTTACAATACAAAAATATCGAGATGAAAAAAAAAAAAAAAAAAAATATCGAGATGCAAATTAGAAAAAATATTGATCACCTGGGTGATCGTGTCTGTTTCTTAAATAAAGTTGAATTTGTTTGCAATTTCTGTAACTCACAGTTTTCTATTCTTTATGATAATAAGGATTACCTAAGGCATTAAAAAAAAATACAGAATTCCCAGATATTCTAATTCAAAAGATCTACTATGGTTCTGGAATCTGTGGGGTTTTTTTTTAAAGCTTTCAAAGTAATTCTTATGCAGAAAACACTGCAATAATGAATATATTACAAAGTATACAATCATATAAAAATCAAGATAAGTACAAAAATATATATGATATTTATCATAATAAAAGGCCAAATTGTTGCTACATGAAGCGTGCAATGTTGGAGGTTCCCTTCTTCCTGTCTCCTCAGATTTCCATGAGGAAGAAACTTCCTAAATACTCCCACACTCTGATTTCCACCCTTTAATCCACTCCAGGAAGGTAGAAGGAGTTACCTTAACTGCAGGACTAGGCAAAGGCACTGGCAACCCAACATCATTCTCCCTCCATTTTTTAATGGGCTCCACCTCCCTGCACAAGATCTGTGGGTGAGGCTGGCAGTATCTCGTGCTTCCTGTGATTGATAAGATTCCTTAAATCCAAAGCTTAGTAGTAGAAAGCTCAATGGCCACAAGTTCGAATTCCACCCTCAAATCCAGCTTTGACAGGAAATAAAGCTGAGATTTTTATACCCCTCTGCCTAAATCTCTGGCCTTTCAAAATAAGTTTCCAAATCAAGAACAGAAAAGGAGTTATTTACTGATTCCCTAAAACCCCATCTTCCAACACTGTTATGTCGTTGACTAGACTTGGTCTTTTTGTTTAAACCCTGCTAGCCAGTTAATGTAACAAGTTTTATATGTGAACTAACTTAGTAAAATTTGCATAATACAGCTCTATAATAGAGACCTATAAAAAGGAGATGTCATGTGTAAAAATTTCATTAGGAACTTTCAAAATGCACTGCTCAATTCATTTTAATTTTATAATTGAGCCACTTAGAAGCTCCAGCTCTTGGCACTTTTCTTCAACAGCTACTAACTCTAGAATGGTATTCCCCAAAGTGTTCCATGGATCAGTAGTCCAATAAGATGTGACTCTTAATGAGTTTCCTGGTCAAAGAAGTTTAGGAAACATGAAAACAGTGATCCCCGTCTTGCAAATTCAAAATGTGTATTAGCTTAGTAAGGCTCTAAGAAGTCCTGAAGTAAATAAATCAGCTTATTTCGCCCTTCCCCCAATTAACATCTATCAATACCCTATGAGACTAGTATTCCAGGTTCCACATTTTGGGAACTTCTGCTCTAGAAGATGTTTCAGCAGTCAGATTTTTGTTACTAATAATACCTAAACATCTATATAATTAATCAATGAAATGTTATCGAGGATGTCCTCTAAGTTGGCAGTACATCTGTTACAAGAATTGCCAGTCATGACTGGGGAATTATGTAAATTCTGCAAGGGCAGAGGTTGTGTGTATTTGGGTGATCATTTTATCTCCAGGGCTTGACAAAGGGCCAGCACACAGCAGGCACTCAATATTTGTTGAATGAGTGAACAAATGATGTTGACCTAATCCAAGGACGGGAATAACTCCCCTCCCCACCCAAGATGTCTTATTTACAAAAGAACATCCTAAAGAGTCTTAGGCCAATCAGGAAAAAAAAGGAATACAGTAGTAGATCTCACTCCAGTTCCACCACATCCAATTTCTCCTTGGATCCTAAAGCATCTTTCATACTCATTCGAAGAGTGAAACGCTGATTTGTAATGATGAAACTAGATTTTATAACAGAAGGTGCAACTGGGTCTAAACTAGGGATTCAACACTTTATCTCACCTAAGCTGTAGAATAAGGACAGGATCTAGGTGAGGACAAATGCTGAGACTGGACTTAAGGAAAACTGCAAAGAGAACAAATTCTTTTTCAACCCTCTTTGCGTAAAGTGAGGTACTTAGTGCCTAGATTTTTGCATCTGAATTCCTAGGTTAATGACTTTGAGACCGCTTAGGAGGATTTATTATATTACTGTGGATGAATGAGTTAGTTATCAAATAGGGAATTGTCAATTTTGTATATAATTTTAAACTCAGGAAATGTTCAATGTTAGCAGTCGCTAAAAAAATTTTTTTTTAATCCTCAAACCTAAACAACATGCTCATTTTTAAACCTATCAAGAAAAATGTCCTCAAATCATTAAGTCAAAAGGATGATTTGGAAAAAGGAATCAATATTATCAACCAATATTCAAATATGCAAAGAGGAGAGCGCTTGTGGTATAAAGATATTATTTTTTGCTAGAGAGGGTGGAGAAGAGGGAAAATGTAATTTTCCTACACTGTTGGTGGGAATGTAAATTGGTGCAACCACTAAGGAAAACAGTATGGAGGTTCCTCAAAAAACTAAAAATAGAGTTGCCATATGATTCTGCAGTTCTACTCCTGGGCATATATCCGGAGAAAACTGTAATTCGAAAAGATACATGCACCCCAATGTTCATAGCAGCACTATTTACAATAGCCAAGACATGGAAACAAACTAAATGTCCATCTAAAGATAACTGGATAAAGAAGATGTGGTACAATATACAATGGAATATTCCTCAGCCATAAAAAAAGAATGAAATAATGCCATTTGCAGCAACATGGATGGACCTAGAGATTATCATACTAAGTTTAGTAAGTCCAAAAGAGAAAGATAAATACCATATTATATCACTTATATGTGGAATCTAAAATATGACACAAATGAACTTATCTATGAAACAGAAACAGACTCACAAACATAAAGAGCAGACTTGTGGCTGCCAAGGGAGACGAGGTGGGAGAGAGATGGACTGGGAGTTTGGGATTAGCAGATGCAAACTATTATATATAGAATGGATAAACAGCAAGGTCCTACTGTATATAGCACAGGGAACTATATTCGATATCCTGTGATAAACCATAATGGAAAAGAATATGAAAAAGAATATATATATATGTATAACTGAATAACTTTGCTGTACAGTAGAAATTAACACAACATTGTAAACCAACTATACTTCAATAAAATAAATTTTTCAAAAAACAGGATATTATTTTGTACAATTCCATTTTATTCAAACTGTAATATATGGTTATGTATTATATAATTTCTAAAACTTTGGAAAAGAAAACATTTGTTCTCTAAGACCCTGGTTTGAAGAAAAGAGAAATGTATTTACCTCCATGTAAATACCAAGAAGTCTTCTCTTTTTACAAATGATTACTATATTCTCTGAACCAAAATTTGGGACAAATAGATTGGCAAAAAAATTGTGCAATTTCAGGGTCTGAAAGGCTAGATGTTAGATAGAGCTTGGGTGCTGAAACATTAGAACTCATGGGACCTAAATTTATAACAGCTGGGCATAATACTGTAACTTGTCCCTGACCTGGAAAATCTAGGTTATTAAATTATTAAGTAGTACAAGGCTTACATTCTCTATAATTTTGCAGCTTTCAGGATTGTACTGGGGGGTGGTCCCAGGAAATCCTCTTTTAGGGCTTGAGTTTCCTCCCAAAACAAGTACGACTTTGGAAGAAGACTTTCTCCCTTTAACCACTAAATTTTTCCCCATGTATTTAAAGCCTGGAGGTTGTAAATCTCAAAAAGGGCAATAGAACTTGAGGATAATTAAGCATGCTGAATATAGGTGCACCTGCTGTGTCTGGCAGGAAGGAACGGTCCTGGCTTTTGGTGGTGTACTTGGGGAGGTGTGGTAGGTCACCTGGCTGCCCGCTGTTGGCTACCCAGCTACTCTCACTAAAAGCCAGGACTCCTCCAGCAACCCCATAAATATGAGGGCTCCACGGCTTCTCTCCAGGACAACTGGCATAACAGGGTCTTGAGCTGGCCCAGACCACCGCTCCTGAACCTGCTCAAGAATTATAAGAATTACAGAAACTGCTCAAGGATTACAAGAACTGTAATTCTTCCTGACCAGGAGTGAAACAAGGCTTTGCACTGACCGGCCTGAGAGGTGTAACTCTGTTCTCCCCGACATGCTGGAGATGGGATGGATCCTCCCATCTCTTTTTCCTCAGGTCTGAAGTGAGGAGAATAATCTAGGCTTTCTTCTACTATGTATGTGGGCGTGGTCTCTCAGAAGAGGCCGACTCATTTAGAGGCAAAAGTACTTGCACCTGACTTAACCTTTCGACCTTGAAAATTCGTTTTTAAAGGAGCAACACTAAAATAAATGCTTAATTTATTACTTTTGTAAGTACAGCTCCAATCTCAGAACACACACATGTATACATATATACTCCGAACATACGTATACATTTATATATATATCTATATACACACATATATATATATATCTATATACACATATATTCTAGGACACAATTTGATCCTCATAGATTCATTCAGTGAATCAGAAACAGGCTCTGTGCATCCCTGGCCTCCTCAGTGCAAATCCAGGTAAAATTTTCACCTCTGCTCTTCACAAGTTTTCCAGTGTTTTGAACGCATGGAGTGTTTTCAAGAGCAGATTCAGAATCGACTAGCATTTACTGAGAGCCTCCGGGGTCCCAGGCTCTGTGCTGCTTTACGTATGTAGTGCCATTTAATCTTCACAGCAATAACAATCCACCTCTGAGGTGGGTATTATTTTCAGTTTGCGGATGAAGAAGGGCCTCTCAAGGGATACATCTTAGACTCACAAAAAGTGACAGGTTTTAAGTCAGGTCCTCTTACCAAGCCAGGGCCTCATTCCATGAGCCACACTGCCCCCTACAGGCCAGACCATAATAGTATGGGAACCAACGGGAAAAGTGGGCGTGGCAAGGAAAGAAGTCCCAGGCATATGGAATCAATTCAAACCAAATGGGACTAAGAATGTCCCCAAACAATCCAGAGATTTTTCTGGATTTATCTGCAGGGATATGCTAATGATTTTTTAAAAAGTATAAACCTAATGGTTTACAATAGACCATGCTATACTTTCTTTCCATGACATCTTATTAAACAAATTACAGGTTTCTTGAAGCTGGGAACTAAAACAATAAGTATTTGGTCACATGAAATTGATTAATAAAAAACACAAAGCATTTTCCAGTGTTGTCCTCTATTCAATAACTAATATTTTTATGGTTAAAAAAAGTTATTCTTTGCTTCTCACTTTGATACCCACAAGCTCCATTTCTTAATAACAGTTGCTATTCAAAATTACTATTTCTAAAACAAATTTTTCTGTTACCACATGACACACTGTGGTATAAGGGCACTTGATATGCAAATTGCTAACAAAACTTAATATTATCTTCCCTCCTGTTGCTCTTTAATTTGGCATTGAGCAGCTGAGGTTTGAGGTTTTAATCAAAGAGCATTGAATGAGGCAATTTATAAAATCAAATGAGGATTCTTTTTTCAATTATTCCATTCACTGTTTATACCTATTAAATTGTAAAATAGTCTTAGAAATGCATTAATGCATTGGTTATCTCTTTCACTGCTTGACCATATCTAAATGCAGGCTTACTTTCAAGTGGTACAATATAGTAGAATAGTGACCCATGCAGGCTCCGGCCCAAACAGTAACCCAGGGCAAGTTCTCTTTAACTCTCATTTTCATCATCTGTAAAATGGAGATAATAATAGTACCTCCTTCATATGGTCATAGAGAGGATTAAACGAAATAATCCATGGAAAACATTAGCGAAGCACCTGCCACATAACAAGTGCTCAGCTCTTATTAAGATGAATTTGAGAGCTCATACTGAAACATTACTGTTGCTATTTATTTCACGGCAAAAATATTCTAAGAACTACATTAACTATTATGCTTGGCCAAAAGAGAACAGGAGCATGCAAAAACATCATTCTCATCTCAGCACAGGGACTCCCCCAGATCAGGTTGCTGGCTTCTCATGCAGCACATGCCTGGGGCAGACAGCAAGGATGAGCAGTAATTGCAGTTATTATAGGCATGGGGGCGGGTGGAGCAGCTGGCAAGGCCCACGGGTTACGCAAGGGCAGACTGGCCTCCAACTGAGGCTGTGTCAGAAGTTAGTAGAGGGTTAGGACGAGACAGGCAGCTGATCAGATTCGAGAAGACAGACAATGGTCTAGGGCAGCAACCATGATAGATCAAGCCCAGAGAAAGAGGGCTGAAGTTCAACAAGCTGGAGGGGATCTAGTAGAAGTCAGGGACCTGGAGAATTGCCCAGGGATACACCTCACTGAGAGCATTTGACTTGGACTGAAGGCTTTTAACCCTGAAGTTCCAAAGGACTTTCTGATTATTAGAGGAAGCTCATCTCTTTATGACAGGCTTAGCCAAGGTGAGCCGGGGGTCATCCTTATCCCCTCCATAAACTTGAGGTCTGCTCATCTACTCATCACTGGGTCTGGCAGGCCAGTCAGGGTAGAGCAGAGTCACTCTCCTTTCATGGAGCTGCGACCAACGAAAGATGTAAGAATGAATCTTCTCGAAAGGCCTCAGCAAAGGGATAATCATGGGAGATAAAAACAACCTTAGCTAGTTACAGCAGCTCCAAACAACTAAGCATTAAGTTTTAAACAATTATGGCTTGGGTATGTTACCTGCCTGACAAATGAGAGGCTTGGGAATGTCCCAACATCTTGTACTTTCATATTTTATTTTGTACACTTAGTGTCACACCACTGCCATCATCAATACCAAAGTTGTTCTTATAATTGATAACCTTATTCGAATTCTGGGCAGGGTCTGCTTGCTTCCTGAAGCTAATTCCAGTAATGTTTTTTGAAATCCTGTTTTGATTCTCACTGTTTGTAGGCGATCAGGAGTAAGCCAGACTTCCACACATGGAATAGGCTCATTTTTGTCCCATGAGCACAGAGATAAAGCATGATGACGTGGTGGTGGAGCAGGGTGCCACTCCCAGTTCAGTCTGACACACCTTATGGGAAACCAGATTGCTGGGGACACTTGAGGGAGGAAATCTCCTCTATCAAGAAACCTCAGGGAACCTGGAGGCTAGGCTAAATTAAATAAGGTAAACTGTTAGCAAAGCTGTGCAATGATAAACATAAACGTGATGACCCATGAGGGGGAAGAACATGCATTTATGCACGAAAACACTTGAGGTGCTAGAATCATAGCTGTGTGGCAGCATAAATATAAAGCAAAGATAGATTCTTCCAGAATTTCAATAAGCCAAAAGGAATAACCGCCCTAAAGCAACACTAAAACGGTTAGATATCACTAGACAGTTGATGTTGTCCGGAATTAGGGCTGAGAAAGTACAAAGGCAGTAGTAAACCCAAACCTTCAACTCACGGGCACAGTGATTTCTGATACTCAATTTCCATCATTCAAATCCAGTCTTCAGAGTCATTTAATTTGTACCTTCTACTGACATTCACAGCGAGGGCATCCTAGACACTCAATTTTCACATTCTTTTTCACTCACAAATCACAAGTTAAATACAAACTTTACTAAACCCAGACATTTCCCAAAATGGTTCGTGAGCGCCCTCTAGTGATAGTGAGGCCAGTTAAGACAACTCATTGCCCCCCAAAATTGTCTCTATGAAGTGCAGATTCACTAAGGATTCAATTTCTGCTGTCAGCTAAAAATACATCTTCTGCCGTTGTTATTGGCACAGCCATAAGCTGAACTTACTGCTCTCTCTTCAGAATCCACAACTAGGTAAAGCCATGAATTAAAGAATATGCAACACAATCATCTGAAAACATTTCAAAGTAACCTTTGCTTGATCCCAACGTGAACGCATTATTTTGGCTGTTGGGAAGCCTTTTTCACAACCGAATAAACATGATTACAAAGTAGTCAAGGAAGATTTTTTTTTTTTAAATAATATACTTGTATAGTTCATTTCTCTTCCTAACTTCTTTCAGTACTCCAGTGACAATGGCAACTGATGACAATGGCTAAATCCACACAAATCTGCATTACAATTCCCTGATCATTTATTTCCTAACACATTTGGTGTTTTTTTTTTGAAAAGTAAAGGCTTCCACCAGATTCTTTCATTCCTCAGCCCTGTACTCCGGAGTTCTTAAACTGGTGGACCCGGGACAATTGTGGTCTGCACATATGGTCTATTTACATTTAAAATTTCTTACTGGTTGCCAAAATTTAAAAATCTGGATTTCTGGCATCTTATGAAGAAAGAAAATGACCTTTGGCAACATCTTTTCTGCTTCCCCACCTGAAAACATACTTGCAGGAGCCGAGAGGGGCTGCACCTTTAGGTGATGCCTTGGTTCAGTGAGCCAGTCACAACTCAACCCCCATCAGTCACATGGGTTACTTACCTGGCCCCAAAAGCCTTTGAGATGCAACCCCTGAATTCGTGACCCCTTTCAATTCTTCCCGTGAAGGTTCTCTTTAAAATCCTTATAATCAAGCTAAAAATCCTTATAACCAAGCTAATCTTCTATCCTGTTCTCACCACAAAACGCTACTGACACAGACTAAAAGGAACACGCTATTATAAAGAAAAGTAAAAAGATATTCTCCGTAATGGAGGACTGCCAACACACAAACTAGCAGTTTAGGTTGATTTCAAACGCAATCGATTCCCTCAGACTTGATTAAGTTCACTGTGCATTTATGAATCATGTCTTTGTTTTGAGAGGACAAAACCCTCACCATGGGCTCATGCATAGCAAACAAGCAACTTGTAGGTCTATCACAAACCACCTGCTCACATCCCAAGATTTCTTTCTTGGAACCAAAGCCCTGGAGACCAGGTGATTGGCCAACCAAGTCATGAAAAGGAGACATGCACTCACAGGTGTGCTGCTGTCCGAGAAGGTGTTCATGCTGACGGAGGTACTCAGCTTGTCTGAGGACACGGAAGGTGGGGATGGGCTCCTCTTCTCCAGGGGGTCCTGCCGCTGCAGGTACTCGCGCCACACTCGCTGAATGCTGCCAAAAAACAAACAAACAAAAAACAGCGCACACACCGTCACTCCCCAGCCACACACTCGGCAAAGCACAAGGAGTCTGAAGGAATTGGCTATGGGGACAGGGAAACTGACACACCTAGAACGTGACAAGGGAAATCAGAAGACCTGGACTGTCTATGTTACTGGTTCGACTTTTACAGACTTGCCTGAGCTCAATCAGTCTCCAAGAATCAACTTAGTCAGAAAAAGTCATCCATCAAAGTGAAACTAGTTTGCACATGTAAATGTACATGCTTTGATTTATGGGACACAAAATCTTTCAACTTCTCATCCTTTTTTCAAATGAGAATAATAAATAGGCTGACGTATCACTTATTCATTCACTCAATACATCATTGCTGAAGGACCATTCTGTGCCAGGGTCAGCGCTTTGCTCTGGACAGAGACTACAGGGCCGCTCTAGGGGGTGCCATTCACAAAGACCTCAAGGTGAGGGGTGTTCTGTGGTGTTAGACAGTGTAGTCTGCGTGGCCAAATGCAGTGGCCCTGCTCCGGGCACATGTCAGGTAAGAGCCCTACGGTCATGGATTTTACATACTGTGGAAGGAAACTGGTGTTGTATGATAAATAAAGAAAGAAATGGACAGAGAAGACAAAATATTTGAAAGTATTATGTACTATTCAGAAAATTAAAGTAACCCTCGATTAGGTGGCTTCTTGAGATTTCACCCAAGGAAGCTCTTTATTTCCTGTGATTATTATCCCAAAAGTGTCATCTTCTGATTTGGATAATAGAAACCTCTTCTTTGTGAAAGCTAAGTGATTTCTTTTTCCATTTGAACTAGCTAATAATCTTTAAGATTAAGATCTAGATTTCCACATGTAATCAGGGAACAGGATTCTATTTTCTCCTGGGGGTTAGCCCGACATGGAAGACCAACTGTCAGTATTCAGCTTTTTAGAATAGTTTTAAATGGTTTCGCTGATTCTATCACCATCTCTTTTTGACTTCTGGAAGCATCTGATCTTCTATAATTCTTCCACATACAACCAAAGTCACTAAAGGTGTTTCTGTATAAACAAACTGATTTATTATCATTTGGCTAGAACGATTCAAAGACCATCAGTTCTCAACAGTCAGAGGATAAAAAGAATACGTTAATGCTACCACATTATTGAATTTGTATGTGTTCCCTAATTTATTAAGGCTCTGTGAGTTATAATGCTCAAGGAAAAGCCCAGAAGCTACAGTGAAACAACCTTGGGATCAGAGGCCAATTTCCCTGAAACTATGAACCTTCAGCTTCTGGGGCCCTTACTGAGAGGCCAGAAGCTTCTTGCCTTGGGTCATATGTGGTCACTATTTTCTTATGCAATGTCTGCTCAAAATGCACCCTTATTTATTTATTTTCCTTTGGTTTAAAGATTTTAAACAGAATCTCAGAGAGGGTCCTGTAAGATTATGTGCCTGAATTTGGTAATCCCGTTGTTTCTTCTGGGATCCATTTTATTAAGGGAGTATCACATTTTGGCCAGCTGATTTCCACACCATCCAAAGTGCTTGAAGTGTTGGGCAACTCCCAGAGCCCTGCTGACAAGTTCTGCCACTTTACAGAACCTAAAGCCTGTAAACCTGCGCATAAGGGCTTAAAAACGTGTGACATTTTTTAAGTAATTTAAAAAATAGAAAATACTGACAACCCATAAGATACCCACAAGTTTACAGGACTACGGGTATTCCTCTCCCAGCCCCCCCTTTTTAAATTCCTTGATTATTCAGAAAATATAGAAAGAAAATGAAGTAGGCATTTGAGACATTACAATTTAGCTTGTTGAACACCAGGGGGCAGCGTGACACCTTTAAAAAACAACGATGCTGGGCAAAACCCAGGTAAGGTCTGCAAAGAATTTAAAGCATCCCCTTCCCCATCCTAGTTCTACGGAATCTGGAAAGTGACATATCAGTTTTCCTTAAGTCAGAGATTAAAAAGCCAATATTCTTTCCTTCCAAGTAGATGGATATCCTCTTCTTGTTTTAATTGACAAGAAAATGTGATAATATTAAATACGTTTAAAATGCGTATTAAAATCATCTAAGCCCACTCGCTGCCTTAATACAGAAGCTATGTTAATTTTTGGATATTTATCTTACTATCCTTGTCTACATATATGAAAACAATTTTACTTAGTTGAAAGCATACTACACTATATTTCATTCTTTTCTTAAATGTTGGGATCAAAAAAGAGAGGCCAGTCATGTCATACAAGGCTATTACTCTAAATTGCTACATTGTTTATTTTAATGGTGGAGCCATGCTACTCTCTGAATCATAGAAAAGTGTTTACATTACACAGGAACTCCCCTTTGATGACACTGATGTGATGTTCATAGGTTAAATTAGTCTAATATTAGCTCTCGGAATACCATCTCTAAATGCTATTTTACTGTACTAGGGAACTGAAACAAAACGTAGAAGCATTTGTCCTTCGGTCAAAGGGAATCATTTCTCATCTTCTCATCCTAGCTTTACCACAACTCCTACTCACCAGCCTCCTTTACGGCTGCAGAGGAAACCCTGAGCACCAACTACCTTGACATTTTTACTTCTGAAACTAAGCAGTGCCATCAATATAACGCTTTTAAAAGCTGGTCGCAGTAAGCGAACACATTTTGTGTGTTCCTACATTTTGAATTATAAATAAGGTATAGAAGTTTACTTCAAAAGAGATAATAGGGGGCTTCCGGGAAGATGGCGGAGGAGTAGGATGCGGAGATCGCCTTCCTCCCCACAGATACAAGAAATACATTTACACGTGGAACAACTCCTACAGAACACCTACTGAACGCTGGCAGAAGACCTCAGACCTCCCAAAAGGCAAGAAACTCCCAAAGAATAAACAGAGACAAAAGGTTAGAGGCAGGACCTGCACCAGTGGGAGGGAGCTGTGAAGGAGGAAAGATTTCCACACACTAGGAAGCCCCTTTGCGGGCGGGGACTGCGGGTGGCTGAGGGGGAAAGCCTCGGAGCCGCGGAGGAGAGCACAGCAACAGGGGTGCGAAAGGCAAAGCGGAGAGATTCCCTCACAGAGGATCGGTGCCGACCGGCACTCACCGGCTCGAGAGGCCTGTCTGCTCCCCCGCCGGGGCGGGCGGGGCTGGGAGTTGAGGTTCGGGCTTCGGTCGGAGCGCCGGGAGAGGACTGGGGTGGGCGGCGTGAACACAGCCGGCAGGGGGTTAGTGCGCCACGGCTGGCCGGGAGGGAGTCCGGAGAAGAGTCTGGACCTGCCGAAGAGGCAAGAGACTTTTCCTTCCCTCTTTGTTTCCTGGTGCGCGAGGAGAGGGGATTAAGCGCGCTGTTTAAAGCAGCTCCAGAGACGGGCGCGAGCCGCGGCTAACAGCGCGGACCCCAGAGACGGGCATGAGACGCTAAGGCTGCTGCTGCCGCCAGCAAGAAGCCTGTGTGCGAGCACAGGTCACTATCCACACCTCCCCTCCCGGGAGCCTCTGCAGCCCGCCACTGCCAGGGTCCCGGGATCCAGGGACAACTTCCCCGGGAGAACGCACAGCGCGCCTCAGGCTGGTGCAACGTCACCCCGGCCTCTGCCGCTGCAGGCCCGCCCCGCACGCAGTGCCCCTCCCTCCCCCTCGGCCTGAGTGAGCCAGAGCCCCCGAATCAGCGGCTCCTTTAACCCCGTCCTGTCTCAGCGAAAAACAGACACCCTCCGCCGACCTACAGGCAGAGGCAGGGCCAAATCCAAAGCTGAGCCCCTGGGAGCTGTGAGAACAAAGAAGAGGAACGGAAATCTCTCCCAGCAGCCTCAGAAGCAGAGGATTAAAGCTCCACAATCAACTTGATGTACCTGCATCTGTGGAATACATGAATAGACAACGAATCATCCCAAATTGAGGAGCCGTGTGGATGAAAGGCTGTTGGTGCTGCAGCCAGGAGTCAGTGCTGTGCCTCTGAGGTGGGAGAGCCAACTTCAGGACACTGGTCCACAAGAGACCTCCCAGCTCCACATAATATCAAACGGCGAATATCTCCCAGATATCTCCATCTCAACACCAGCACCCAGCTTCACTCAACGACCAGCAAGCTACAGTGCTGGACATCCTATGCCAAACAACTAGCAAGACAGGAACACAATCCCACCCATTAGCAGAGAGGCTGCCTAAAATCATAATAAGTCCACAGACACCCCAAAACACACCACCAGATGTGGACCTGCCCACCAGAAAGACAAGATCCACCCTCATCCACTTGAACACAGGCACTAGTCCCCTCCACCAGGAAGCCTACAGAACCCACTGTACCAACCTTAGCCACTGGGGACAGACACCAAAAACAACGGGAACTACGAACCTGAAGCCTGCAAAAAGGAGACCCCAAACACAGTAAGATAAGCAACATGAGAAGACAGAAACACACAGCAGATGAAGGAGCAAGATAAAAACCCACCAGACCTAACAAATTAAGAGGAAATAGGCAGTCTCCCTGAAAAAGAATTCAGAGTAATGATAGTAAAGATGATCCAAAATCTGGGAAATAGAATAGACAAAATGCAAGAAACATTTAACAAGGACCTAGAAGAACTAAAGAGGAAACAAACAATGATGAACAACACAATAAATGAAATTAAAAATACTCTAGATGGGATCAACAGCAGAAAAACTGAGGCAGAAGAATGGATAAGTGACCTGGAAGATAAAATAGTGGAAATAACTACTGCAGAGCAGAATAAAGAAACAAGAATGAAAAGAACTGAGGACAGTCTCAGAGACCTCTGGGACAACATTAAATGCACCAACATTCGAATTATAGGGGTTCCAGAAGAAGAAGAGAAAAAGAAAGGGACTGAGAAAATATTTGAAGAGATTATAGTTGAAAACTTCCCTAATATGGGAAAGGAAATAGTTAATCAAGTCCAGGAAGCACAGAGAGTCCCATACAGGATAAATCCAAGGAGAAACACACAAAGACACATATTAATCAAACTATCAAAAATTAAATACAAAGA